TTTCCCAAAATCAGTCCTGGGGCCCCCCCTGGGTGCACATTTTGGTATTTGCCCTAGCACTACACAGCTGATTCAAATAACCAACTCATCAAGCTTTGATTATTTAAATCAGCTGTGTAGTGCTAGGGCAAAAATCAAAACGTGCACCCAGGGGATCCCCTCGGACCGACTTTGAGAAACCCTGGACTATAGGCCAAAGAGGGGAGAGCATGACCCCATCCACATCAACAGGGCTGTTGTGGAGCGGGTTGAGAGCTTGAAGTTCCTTGGTGTCCATAAGGACTTAATATGGTCCACACACACCTGAACAGTCATGAAGAGGGCACGGCAGCGCCTCTTCCCCCTCAGGAGGCTGAAAAGATTTGGCATGGGCCCTTGGATCCTCAAAGTTATACAGCTGTACCATCGAGCGCATCTTGACTGGCTGCATCACTGCTTGGTATGGCAAATGCACTGCCCTTGACTGCAAAGCGCTACAAAGGGTGGTGCAGACAGCCCAGTACATCACTGGGGTGGAGCTCCCTGCCATCCAGGACTTCTATATCAGAGGAAGGCCCGAAAAATTGCCAAAGACTCCAGCCACACAAGCCGCAGACTGTTCGCTCTGCTATCGTCCGGCAAACGGCACTGGAGCATTGGTTCTTGGACCAACAGGCAAATTCTACCCCCAAGCCATAAGACTGCTAGCCAGACTGCTAAATAGTCAATTAATGGTACTCGAACTATCTACACTGACTCTACGCACCCTCACTAGAATATATACACACACTACATTGTAACTCCCACACACATTAACATACGCACACACATATTCACACTTTTACACTCATAATTTGCTGCTGCTACTGTTCTTTATTATTACCTGATGCCTAGTCAGTTTACCCTGACTTCTTGTACATATCTACCTTAAATACCTCATACCTCTGCACATTGATCTGGTACTCCCTGTATATAGCTTCATTCTTGTGTATTTTATTTTAGTCCTCGTGTTACTATTTTGTTTTAAACTGCATTGTTGGGAAGGGCTCCTAAGCAAGCGTTTCACTATAAAGTCTACACCATTCAGTACATGTGACAAATTAAATTTGATTTATTTGATTTAACCACCACTTTTTTATTCAGCATAAGGACCAGCGTTAAACGCCAGGGATACTTGTGCATTACTTATTTATGTATGTTTTCGCTTCTTTTTCTGTGTCGTTGACGTGTGGGCCTGGGGTCTGTTTGTTTATTTTAATACTTTCCCACGTTACACCGTCTTCTGGTTTCTGTTTGAACTGAGAAATCCGATCCTTAGTTGGTGCTAGCTACTGCCACCTCCTGGTCTGGAAATTGTTTTTGAAAAAATAAAAATATTTTTGTAACGATGATGCGTGAATCTACATCTGTGACAAAGTTGGTGCTTTTATCACAAATTGAAGGATGTATTTCTTGCTTACCTGCCACACCACTGAGGTATATGAACAACACTTCTTCTTCAATGAGGTTTAACGGCGGTTGGCATCCAATTTGTTGCATTACCGCCACCTACTAGACTGGAGTACAACTCCCTTATATTTTGCTTGAAAAATTAAATAAAGAAATACCCTACCATCTAACACTACACTCTCAAATAAAAAAATATTATTAATAATTAACACCACCCTACTCCACTATTTAAATATATTCATTTCTACCTCATGCCCTCAACCTGAAATGATGGGACATCACCACTTAACACTCCCTGTAATGCTTCTGATGTCAAGTCTCGCACACCCAAATACCTCTCTGCAGCTGCCACCACAACCTCAATTTTCTTCGACTTACGTTCCATCCCTGCAGTACAATTAATAACCATTGCTATAAACGCTAAAAATCCAATCTTACTGAAACATATATCACTTGTTGGCCTATCCCTCTGTACTGGTACATATCTACTACTCTCACCACTTCCCCCCCTTGACCCCTCTTCCTCTACTTTCTTCACTGCCTCCGCATATGACAACTTCTTCACTACTCTTACCCTGGAAACCTCAACCTGCCTCTCTTGCACGGGACATTTCTTATCCCCAGCCCCATGGACACCCCTACAATTAGCACATACCACTACTTTCCCCAATGCTACACATTCCTTTGTCTCATGCCCTTCTGCACACTTCTCACACCTTGGAACCTCCCTCCTACACACTGCTGCCACATGCCCATAAATTTGACACCTGTAACATCGTAATGTATTCGGCACATAAGCTTGTACAGGATAACTTATATAACTAAGTTAACTTTGTCAGGCAAAGAATCAACTTCAAAACTCAAAAGAACAGAAAATGACTTCTGTTTCCCCACTCTTGCCACCCTGTTTGCGTCGCACCAAACGACGAGCATCACAAACACCGGGAATCTTCCCCTTCATTTGCTTAATCCGTCTGGATTACTGCAACTCGCTGTTGGCTGGGCTCCCTGCCTGTACCATTAAACCCCTACAACTCATCCAGAATGCCGCAGCCCGTCTGGTGTTCAACCTTCCCAAGTTCTCTCACGTCACCCCGCTCCTCCGCACACTCCACTGGCTTCCAGTTGAAGCTTGCATCTGCTACAAGACCATGGTGCTTGCCTACGGAGCTGTGAGGGGAACGGCACCTCTGTACCTTCAGGCTCTGATCAGTCCCTACACCCAAACGAGGGCATTGCGTTCATCCACCTCTGGCCTGCTGGCCCCCTTACCTCTGCAGAAGCACAGTTCCCGCTCAGCCCAGTCAAAACTGTTCGCTGCTCTGGCACCCCAATGGTGGAACAAGCTCCCTCACGACGCCAGGACAGCGGAGTCACTCACCACCTTCCGGAGACACTTGAAACCCCACCTCTTTAAGGAATACCTGGGATAGGATAAAGTAATCCTTCTACCCCCCCCCCACCCCAAAAAAGAAAAAGAAAAAGAAAACATATTGTAAAGTGGTTTTTTTCACCCATCCTGAAACCACAAATGGATATATGAACAACACGCAAAGCGTCCATGGCTAAATGTGCCACCTTCAGGCTCCTCCTCCACACCTACGTCAGAAGGTCATCATCGGAAAAGGTCACATGCAATGCAACCAAGATGGCACAGGATTAAACAGATGGGTATTCAGATAAGATTTACTTGGGTTCCAGCCCATGTGGGGGTGGAGGGGAACGAGGCAGTAGATGCAAAGGCTAAACAAGCACTTAGTAGTGGGGATGTTGATGTTGAAGTGTCAATAAGCAAGGCAGAGGCAAAAAGACTGATATATACAGTGATGGTGCAGAGATGGCAGGAGTAGTGGAATATAAATATTAAGGGAAGGCATTTATTTCAAGTACAGAGGAAAGTCGGGGAGGGGAGGACGGCAGGAAGGGACAGAAGAGAGGAGGCTATTTTTACAAGATTAAGGGTGGGACACAGCCAGTTGAATAAGACACTAAGCGTGATAGGAAAGCATCCATCAGGAAATGTGATTATTGTCAGGAAATAGAGACTGTGGAGCATGTATTGCTACAGTGTGGGCAGTATCAGAGGGAAAGAGAGAGGATGAGATTAAGTATGAGGGAGAAGGGAATATAGGAAATTAGTTTAAAGAGTATATTGAGTAGAACGTCATTAGATATAGTATCACATATTTTATTGTCTTTTTTAAGAGAAACTTGGTTGGCAGGTAGGATTTAGTTTATCCCTCTCTCTGGCCCACACTCCAGTACGGTAGGTGGCGGTAATGCACCATAACGTTGGATGCCAACCGCCGATAAACCCCACTGAAGAAGAAGAAGAAGAACCAAGATGGCGGCTTCCTTGTGTCTGTATTACCAGGTGAGTTATCATTAAACATATTTTTCCAAGTTGTCTTTTAACCATCAATAATTAAAGTTACTCATTATTGAAAATAGTGATGAAGCGCCTATATACTCGAAGCGTCTCCTCCACTGCAAAATTCGAACCAGACTAGCTCGCTAACTTAGCAGCAAGACTTCTCTGAATGGAATCTCATCATGTCATGTCGTGTGTGTTTGGGCCTTGATTCATAAGAATGTAGTAGAAAATGTGCACCAAGCAATAGTTTATTGGTCTCAGTAAAATAATATGCACATTTCGAACATTTTGTGCAACAATTGAGTATGACCAGACAATCTGAAGTTTTTTATTTTTTACTCTGAAAACTTATTTTTGAAAATCATACAATACATAGCAGACCAAAGTTAGCTCACAATTGAAACTGTCCATTTCATAAGCAAGATAGACTATGTTGTCTTTAACAGTTTTGTCATCATAATTTACATTTAAATTTTAGTCATTTAGCAGATGCTCTTATCCAGAGTGACTTACAGGAGCAATTAGGGTTAAGTGCCTTGCTTAAGGGCACATCGACAGATTTTTCATCTAGTCAGCTCGGGGATTAGAACCAGCGACCTTTCGGTTACTGGCACAACGCTCTTACCCACTAAGCTACCTGCTGCCATAATCTCTTGCGTTGGCAATATCATTGATTTTGTCAATTGTCTTAGGCATTTATATTGTAGTCCTAACAAAGCATCTCGGCCAATCATAATGTGGCCAGAACAAAATGTTTCGTAATGTTTTATGAGTTTTTCTTATTGTGCATTTCTTTCTCCAGCTATGTGTCAGAAGAAGTTTGCTTGTGTCCTGTCCTTCATATTTGCTCCTACACAACAGACCTCATGTATACAGGATATGTGGGTCCCTCACAAGTTCCTCACAGGTAACAGTGAATGTTCCGCTTGTGATAATCATGCTTATCATTAATTGTATACCGGTATACAATTTGAATTGTACATTCCCTTCCGTTTTACAGTTCGCTAAGTTCTTATTTTTAACATTCAAAGAGCTTAGACAGCAGTGTGTCAATCAGTTTCTGCTTTAGCCAACTTGGCCGTGTCCTGCAATGTAGCGTGGTTGAATGCAGAATTTGTCAGATAACCAGAATTTGTTGATTCTTATGCAGAAATCTGTTCCTCTCTCTAACTCATACAATGACCATATCTTGCTCTAGGTGCGGTATGCATCAGACAGGGGAGGTGGCCGAAAAGGCTTCTTTGGGGGGTTCTTGGACAACCTCAAGCAGGAGCTCAGCAAGAACAAGGAGATGAAGGAGAACATCAAGAAGTTTCGCGAGGAGGCCAAAAAGCTGGAAGAATCGGAAGCTCTGAATCAAGCTCGGAGGAAATATGTGAGTACTCCAATAAATTGAACAGCTTCTTTCCTTTATATTTAGGTTGAAATATGCGGCCAAGTAAATAATATTGAAGCGCATGTCACACGTTGTTTCATTGTTACATCGGACAAAGGCTGTTGTTAGGCAGGTTGGATTGGACAATTACTTGTTTTTTGTCTTCCCTATTTATAATATATGCCATTTCACTTTCTTCCTTAGAAAACCATAGAGTCTGAAACCGTGAAGACGTCCGAAGTTCTGAAGAAGAAGTTAGGGACCTTCTCAGAGACTGTGAAAGAGGTACTGTACATGGATTGTCTGCTGTAGTCACTGTCATCAGCTTTGATGACTGAACTTGAGTATGGTAAATGTAGTGCTGCATGTTGTCAATGAAATGGCAACATGGACATTAATTACATATGTAGGCCTTTGTCTTCGTCATGTCAACAGAAAGGGTGTGAGTGTCTCAAACATAAAACATTTATGTTCCTGTCTGTCTGTTTTTAGGGTCTGGAAGAGGTCAGTCGTACAGATATAGGGAAGAAGATCAAGGAAGGCATGGAGGAAGCTGCAAAGACAGCCAAGACATCTGCGGAGTCTGTGTCCAAGAGTGGAGAGAAACTGGGAAAGACTGGTGCCTTCAGAGCAATATCACAGGTGAGTACTGGATAGTCAGGGACAAGGTACAAAAAGGACCAATCCAGCACTTCAAAGTCAAATACCGGTTTCGGTCATGTTCACTGCATTATAGCAACCACTTGCAAAATTTTGTTGTTGTCACTGCATGAACCAAGCAAGTCTAATGATCTGGAGGGAATGTACAGAATCAACCCAGAATCAACCCAATCAACCGCACATTGACTCGGTACCATTACCCCCTGTATATAGCCTCGTTATTGTTATGTAATTTTCTTGTTACTTTTTGATTTGATTTTTTACTTTATTTTTTTTAGTAAATATTTTCTTAACTATTTCTTGAACTGCAGTGTTGGTTAAGGGCTTGTAAGTAAGCATTTCACAGGAAGGTCTACACCTTTTGTATTCGGCGCATGTGACAAATAAAATTGGATTTGATTAGGTAGCTCATAACAGCCCATGTATTTCCTCTAAAGCCTGCTTTATGTGCTCACACAGGGTATGGAGAGTGTGAAGAAGGAGATTGATGATCTTAATCAGAGTGGGCCCTACCGGGCACCCAAGAGACTACGGAAGAGGAGCGACTTTTCGTCCAAGGCTGCAGAAAATGAGAACAAGGTCTTCGAGGCCAATGAGTACGTGCTGCCAGTCTCCCACTCTTATTCTGTATCTGTAGATCTCTAGATCATTACTCAAGTAGAATTGTGTTCAATGACACAACATATTTTTCAGTGCCCAAATTGCACTTTCGGGTGTAATTTGGATACACAGCCACAGTGAAATTAATTTATAGTCTAGATAACTGTTTACTTTCTGCTGTGCTATGTCTGGTGGCATGTGCGTGAGCACTGAGCAGTGATTTGTTTTCTAGGGAGGCCATGGGAGTGGTGCTGCACAGGGACTCTAAATGGTACGCACAGTGGAAGGATTTCAAGGACAACAACATGGTCTTCAACAGTGAGCCTGTCTCTTTATCACAGTTTTTTTTTTTACCTGTCTGGTGTCTGTAGTATTCATTGAAGTCTCTAAGTATCACCCTTCTGATTCATAATATAGGATGATATGTTATGAAGACAGAGCTATTCCTTTAAAATATACACTCACCGGCCAGTTCACAAAAATTGATCGCTCCTATAGACAGTGAGTAACGTGGGCCGTGGCTTGCTAAATAAAGCAGGCAGACAGGCATCGAGGCATTCAGTTACTATTCGATTGAACTTTAGAATGGGCAAAACTAGTGACGTAAGCGACTGTGTGGAATGATTGTCGGTACCAAGCACACCAGAACCAGTATCTCAGAAACGGCTGGGCTTTTCACACACGACAGTGTCTAGAGTTTCCCGGTATTGGTGTGACAATGGGACCACAAACAGACAAATAACGGTGCAGTACAACAGTGGTGTGCAGAACGGCATCTCGGATCCTTATCACGGATGGGCTATTGCAGTAGACGACCTCACCAGGTTCCACTCCTATCAGCTAAAAACAAGAAGAAGCGGCTCCAGTGGGCACGCGATCAGTAACACTGGACAATTGAGGAGTGGAAAAACATTGCCTGGTCCGACAAATCCCGGTTCCTGGTGTGTCATGCTGATGGCAGAGTCAGGATTTGGCATAAGCAGCATGAGTCCATTGACCCAACCTGCCTGGTGTCAACAGTACAAACTAGTGGCGGTGGTGTACAGCCGTCCAATCTGCAGCAATTGCGCGATGCCATCGCGTCAGCATGGACCAACATCCCTGTGGAAAGTTCTGACTTGTAGAATCCATGCCCTGAAGAATTTGGGCTGTTCTGGAGGCAAAGGGGGGTCCGACCGTGTACTAGATGGATGTACCTAATAAACTGGCCAGTGAGTGTATATCACTTTTTTTTATGAGCGTCTGCCGCTGTAATATGTTTGTCCAGTAGATGGGGCTAAGTTCAAGTGTAAAACTACCGATCAGTGGTTTAGTGCTGTGAATCAGGCTCTGTGGGAACCATGCCCATATACAGTGTCTTGTTGCTCCGAGGTGCAGGTGCGTTTGTAAACTTGACAAAGTGTCCTTTACTTTTTACTATACCTTGAAGATTAATTTTTGTTCATTGCCAAATTCGAACTATAATAATAAATAATAATAATATAATATGCCATTTAGCAGACGCTTTTATCCAAAGTGACTTACAGTCATGCATGCATGCATGCATGCATACATTATTTTTTATTTCTTGTGTCTGGGTGGTCCCGGGGATCGAACCCACTACCTTGGCGTTACAAGCGCCGTGCTCTACCAGCTGAGCTACAGAGGACCACCCGGACTATCATCATGGTTGCCAGTCAGAAACGTACCGGTCTCAAATCACAAAGTCATTAAGGGATCCAAACCTAGCCCTGGAGTTGTTTGTGGGGTGAGCAGCAAGGTGTATATGGGGAAACCCTCTGCTAGCTGATTGACTGCTGTATCAGTCTGGTGAAAACTGTCCTGCTCCTATTAACATTGGAGCTAATGGCCCCATTAATAATGAGCAGCAGATGATGGGAGGCCAGGGACTCCCTAGGGATCAGGTACGAGAGCTGCCTTGAAAGCTACTGTGTTTCTGTCTTAGGTTTACACCAGTCATACTCAATAGGTGGACCGCGTAACGGGATCAATACGGGCTGACGGGATCAATACGGGCTGACGGGATCAATACGGGCTGACGGGATCAATACGGGCTGACGAGTATGTGGACACCTGCTTGTCAAACATCTAATTTCAAAATCATGGGCATTAATATGGAGTTGGTCCCCCCTTTGCTGCTATAATAGCCTCCACTCTTCTGGGAAAGCTTTCCACTAGATGTTGGAACATTGCTGCGGGGACTTGCTTCCATTCAGCCACAAGAGCATTAGTGAGGTCGGGCACTGATGTTGGCCAGTCAAGTTCTTCCATACCGATCTCGGCAAAACATTTCTGTATGGGCCTCGCTTTGTGCACAGGAGCATTATCGTGTTGAAACATGAAAGGGCCTTCCCCAAAATGTTATCACAAAGTTGGAAGCACAGAGTCGTCTAGAATGTCATTGTATGCTGTAGCGTTAAGATTTCCCTTCACTGGAACTAAGGGGCCTAGCCCGAACCATGAAAAACAGCCTCAGACCATTATTCCTCCTCAACCAAACTTTACAGTTGGCACTATGCTTTGGGGCAGGTAGCGTTCTCCTGGCGTCCGCCAAACCCAGATTCCTCCGTCAGACTGCCAGATGGTGAAGCATGATTCATCACTCCAGAGAACGGGTTTCCACTGCTCCAGAGTCCAATGGCGGCAAGCTTTACACCACTCCAGCCGACGCTTGGCATTGTGCATGGTGATCTTAGGCTTGTGTGCGGCTGCTCGGCCATGGAAACACATTTTATGAAGCTCCCAACAAATAGTTATTGTTCTGATGTTGCTTCCAGAGGCAGTTTGGAACTCGGTAGTGAGTGTTGCAACCGAGGACAGATGATTTTTACATGCTTCAGCACTCAGTGGTCCCGTTCTGTGAGCTTGTGTGGCCTACCACTTCGCGGCTGAGCCGTTGTTGCTCCTAGACGTTTCCGCTTCACAATAACAGCACTTACAGTTGACCGGGGCAGCTTTAGCAGGGCAGAAATTTGATGAAATGACTTGTTGGAAAGGTGGCATCCTATGACGGTGCCACGTTGAAAGTCACTGAGCTCTTCAGTAAGGCCATTCTACTGCCAATGTTTGTCTATGAAGATTGCATGGCTGTGTGCTCGATTTTATACTCCTGTCAGCAACGGGTGTGGCTGAAATAGCCGAATCCACTAATTTGAAGGGGTGTCCACAGACTTTTATTTACATTTTAGTCATTTAGCAGACGCTCTTATCTAGAGTGACTTACAGTTACATACATTTTTATGTATGTATATACACACATAAACTCAGCAAAAAAAGAAACGTCCTCTCACTGTCAACTGCGTTTATTTTCAGCAAACTTAACATGTGTAAATATTTGTATGAACATAACAAGATTCAACAACTGAGACATAAACTGAACAAGTTCCACAGACATGTGACTAACAGAAATTGAATAATGTGTCTCTGAACAAAGGGTGGGTCAAAATCAAAAGTAACAGTCAGTATCTGGTGTGGCCACCAGCTGTATTAAGTACTGCAGTGCATCTCCTCCTCATGGACTGCACCAGATTTGCCAGTTCTTGCTGTGAGTTGTTACCCCACTCTTCCACCAAGGCACCTGCAAGTTCCCTGACATTTCTGGGGGGAATGGCCCTAGCCCTCACCCTCTGATCCAACAGGTCCCAGACATGCTCAATGGGATTGAGATCCGGGCTCTTTGCTGGCCATGCCAGAACACTGACATTCTTGTCTTGCAGGAAATCACGCACAGAACGAGCATTATGGCTGGTGGCATTGTCATGCTGGAGAGTCATGTCAGGATGAGCCTGCAGGAAGGGTACCACATGAGGGAGGAGGATGTCTTCCCTGTAACGCACAGCGTTGAGATTGCCTGCAATGACAACAAGCTCAGTCCGACACACCGCCCCAGACCATGACGGGCCTCGGTGTAACGATCATTCCTTCGACGATAAACGCGAATCCGACCATCCCCCCTGGTGAGACAAAACCGCGACTCGTCAGTGAAGAGCACTTTTTGCCAGTCCTGTCTGGTCCAGCGACGGTGGGTTTGTGCCCATAGCCGACGTTGTTGCCGGTGATGTCTGGTGAGGACCTGCCTTACAACAGGCCTATAAGCCCTCAGTCACATTTAACATTTTAACATTTAGCAGACGCTCTTATCCAGAGCGACTTACAAATTGGTGCATTCAACTTAGGATAGCCAGTGGGACAACCACCCTATTTTTTATTTAATTAAATTTTTTTTAATGGGGGGGGGGGGGGGGGGGGGGGGGGTTAGAAGGTATTCCTTAAAGAGGTAGGATTTCAAGTGTCTCCGGAAGGTGGCGTGGGGGAGCTTGTTCCACCATTGGGGTGCCAGAGCAGCGAATAGCTTTGACTGGGCTGAGCGACTTACAGTTAGTGAATAATTTTTTTTTTTTTATACTGGCCCCCCGTGGGAATCGAACCCACATCCCTGGCGTTGCAAACGCCATGCTCTATCAATTGAGCTACATCCCTGCCGGCCATTCCCTCCCCTACCCTGGACGACGCTGGGCCAATTGTGAGACGCCCATGAGTCTCCCGGTCGCGGCCGGCTGCGACAGAGCCTGGATTCGAACCAGGATCTCTAGTGGCACAGTTAGCACTGCGATGCGGCGCCTTAGACCACTGCGCCACTCAGGAGTACATACATACATACAGTACCTGTCAAAAGTTTGGACACACATTCCAGGGTTTTTCTTTATTTTTACTATTTTCTACATTGTAGAATAATAGTGAAGACATCAAAACTATGAAATAACACATGGCATCATGTAGTAACCAAAAAAGTGTTAAACAAATCAAAATATATTTAATATATGAGATTCTTCAAAGTAGCCACCCTTTGCCTTTGACAGCTTTGCACACTCATGGCAATTGTGTTCATTGTCCGTAGCTTATGCCTGTCCATACCATAACCCCACCGCCACCATGGGGCACTCTGTTCACAACGTTGACATCAGCAAACTGCTCGCCCACACGACGCCATACACGTGGTCTGCTGTTGTGAGGCTGTTTGGACGTACTGCCAAATTTCCTAAAATGACATTGGAGGCTTATGGTAAAGAAACATTCAATTGTCTGTCAACAGCTCTGGAGGACATACCTGCAGTCAGCATGCCAATTGCACACTCCCTCAACACTTGAGACATATGTGGCATTGTGTAATGATCATGCTGTCTAATCAGCTTCTTGATATGCCACACCTGTCAGGTGGATGGATTATCTTGGCGAAGGAGAAATGCGAGAGAGAGAAGCTTTTTATGCGATCTGGGATCTTTTATTTCAGCTCATGAAACATGGAACCAACACTTTACATGTTGCATTTATATTTTTGTTCAGTGTAGTATTTGAGTACCCCTGGTTTACACTGTAGCCTTATACATGGAACATGCTATTGAGTATTACCCAAAGAAACAGCACTGACAATAAAATGTTTCTGATTGGTGAAAAGGAGCTATGATATACAGTAATGACATTGTGAGAAGTCAATAGAAATGCTGTGGTATTGACTTCCTTTTGTAGCATCAATCGCAGAGCAGTCATCAATCGCAGAGCAGAGCTATGGTGTTCAATGACCCACAGCTCAGTCCCCATGTTTGATCCATATGATCCAACTCGGTGCACTAGCTTTGGAGAAATACTGTACTTATGCCCCCTCACCCCCCCGCCTGTAACCCTTTGTGTGATGTTGATGCCCTGTGACTAAATGACTCACTCTTCCCTCTTTTCCCAGGGTTCTTTGAGATGAAGATGAAGTATGATGAAAGCGAGAATGCCCTCGTCAGAGCGTCTCGTGCCGTCACAGATAAAATGACTGACCTCCTAGGTAACCTACTGACTTCATACCACCAACCCCAATCACATCAGCCTTTGGTAGGTGGGCTCTGTCTTTGTTTTTGTCTAACGTGTGTATGTCTGGTCAGGTGGGCTCTTCTCCAAGACAGAGATGTCAGAGGTGCTGACAGAGATTCTGAAGGTGGACCCGTCGTTCGACAAGGATGTCTTCCTCAAGCAGTGTGAATTTGACATCATACCCAACGTCCTGGAGGTAAAGAAAGAGATTTCCTCTCCTAACATTGGTGTGGTACAGATTGTGATGAAGGTATACAGGAGGAACACGGGTTGCTCTTTTCGAGCTGAAGACACTTGGAAATGAACCCTTCCATGTACAGTGGGGAGAACAATTATTTGATACACTGCCGATTTTGCAGGTTTTCCTACTTACAAAGCATGTAGAGGTCTGTAATTTTTATCATAGGTACACATCAACTGTGGGAGACGGAATCTAAAACAAAAATCCAGAAAATCACGTATGATTTTTAAGTAATTAATTTGCATTTTATTGCATGACATAAGTATTTGATCACCTACCAACCAGTAAGAATTCCGGCTCTCACAGACCTGTTAGTTTTTCTTTAAGAAGCCCTCCTGTTCTCCACTCATTACCTGTATTAACTGCACCTGTTTGAACTCGTTACCTGTAAAAAAGACACCTGTCCACACACTCAATCAAACAGACTCCAACCTCTCCACAATGGCCAAGACCAGAGAGCTGTGTAAGGACATCAGGGATAAAATTGTAGACGTGCACAAGGCTGGGATGGGCTACAGGACAATAGGCAAGCAGCTTGGTGAGAAGGCAACAACTGTTGGCGCAATTATTAGAATATGGAAGAAGTTCAAGATGACGGTCAATCACCCTCGGTCTGGGGCTCCATGCAAGATCTCACCTCGTGGGGCATCAATGATCATGAGGAAGGTGAGTGATAAGCCCAGAACTACACGGCAGGACCTGGTCAATGACCTGAAGAGAGCTGGGACCACAGTCTCAAAGAAAACCATTAGTAACACACTACGCCGTCATGGATTAAAATCCTGCAGCGCACGCAAGGTCCCCATGCTCCAGCCAGCGAATGTCCAGGCCCGTCTGAAGTTTGCCAATGACCATCTGGATGATCCAGAGGAGGAATGGGAGAAGGTGATGTGGTCTGATGAGACAAAAATAGAGCTTTTTGGTCTAAACCACTCGCCGTGTTTGGAGGAAGAAGAAGGATGAGTACAACCCCAAGAACACCATCCCAACCGTGAAGCATGGAGGTGGAAACATAATTCTTTGGGGATGCTTTTCTGCAAAGGGGACAGGACGACTGCACCGTATTGAGGGGAGGATGGATGGGGCCATGTATCGCGAGATCTTGGCCAACAACCTCCTTCCCTCAGTAAGAGCATTGAAGATGGGTCGTGGCTGGGTCTTCCAGCATGACAACGACCCGAAACACACAGCCAGGGCAACTAAGGAATGGCTCTGTAAGAAGCATCTCAAGGTACAGGAGTGGCCTAGCCAGTCTCCAGACCTGAATCCAATAGAAAATCTTTGGAGGGAGCTGAAAGTCCGTATTGCCCAGCGACAGCCCCGAAACCTGAAGGATCTGGAGAAGGTCTGTATGGAGGAGTGGGCCAAAATCCCTGCTGCAGTGTGTGCAAACCTGGTCAAGACCTACAGGAAACGTATGATCTCTGTAATTGCAAACAAAGGTTTCTGTACCAAATATTAAGTTCTGCTTTTCTGATGTATCAAATACTTATGTCATGCAATAAAATGCAAATTAATTACTTAAAAATCATACAATGTGATTGTCTGGATTTTTGTTTTAGATTCCATCTCTCACAGTTGAAGTGTACCTATGATAAAAATTACAGACCTCTACATGCTTTGTAAGTAGGAAAACCTGCAAAATCGGCAGTGTATATAATATATATATAATATGCCATTTAGCAGACGCTTTTATCCAAAGCGACTTACAGTCGTCGTATCAAATACTTGTTCTCCCCACTGTATGTCACTGCAGTTAATAGAGACACCAGATAACTTTTTCGGTCTGCGACCTTCAACATTAGTCTCAAGTCTCACTTAAATCGGGTGAATATCCAGATGAATTGTAAAATCAATGGAGCACTTCTTTCCCCACTGTCCAGATGCATTGTATTGCTCTTTTTGTCTATCTGCAGTGCCTCATGAGGTGTGGATATCACCCTACATACTCTGTTCTCTCTGCTTGCCTTACCTGTCTCTGTGTCTCTGTCTCTGTGTGTGTCTGTAGGCCATGATCCGTGGGGAGCTTGAGGTGCTGAAGGACTGGTGTTATGAAGCAGTAAGCAATTTTCTTGACCAATGGATCGACTAGTCATTTGTACACCAGCAGAAGATGAATTGTACTGTAAATGTAGACCTGCAATTTTCTGTCATTTTTTCCTGCCGTTGCTGTTTGCCACACCTCTGTCTTGTGCATAGACGTACAGCCAGCTGGCCCACCCCATCCAACAGGCCAAGGCTATGGGCCTGCAGTTCCACTCTAAGATCCTGGACATAGACAACATTGATGTGAGTTAACCTTTACAATAGACTTTTCCTATTATTGGTTTGTGGGATGTGCTTTTCTAATAGTATTTTATGGTGTGTTCACAGCTGGCCATGGGGAAGATGATGGAGCAGGGTCCGGTGCTGATCATCACCTTCCAGGCCCAGCTGGTTATGGTGATCCGCAACACTAAAGGCGACGTCATAGAGGGAGACCCTGTGAGTAGAATACACCCTTGATCTCAACCCTGGAAATAAGGATTGCATTGTAAAAGTATTAAAGCAGGGATCTGTTTGTCTCTTTTAGCTTGGCTAATCAGACAAGGCAATGTTTCAGACCTGGGGTGCATTTCAATAGTCTATAGTGGCTTCCTCCCATCGTCTTTCAATGGAGCCCTGCTGATTGTCATCCAGGCTCCACATGAATGCATCCAGGGCCCGTTAGAACCTTCGTAGGAGCATCGTTAAATCTCTGAGCTGTTTCCCAAAACCATCGCTATTAACGCAGCACTTGAAAAAGTTCATAATCTAACGCCTGCCTCAGACCACTCGGCTATAGGCCTATTTCAATCATATTGAAATGCATTTAATGTTCAATCAATTGCTCTATTTAGCTACTTGTAGGCTACTGTCTGTAATTTGTCTCAATATACACTGAGTATACCAAACATTAGGAACATCTTCCTAATGGAAGGGCATCCACTCAGCCGCAGGAAGCTGGCAGCCCCTCAGTCTGGCGCAGGGCACTGCCAGGGGATTTATGGAGGCTGGGCTGTTATGTCCTCTGCTGTTGATGACGCAACTTTTGTTGCCCTTTGTCTCTGGTCTGAGAGAGAACAGGTTAGCCAGGGTGGTACATTGTACACTTTGGACACACGTTCCAAAGGATTGAAAATTGATTTAATTTGCCAATACCTCTGATCGTCATTATGTGTTTGACTGTGTTGGCCCACAGGACAAGGTGCTGAGGATGATGTACGTGTGGGCCCTGTGTCGAGACCAGGAGGAGCTCAACCCTTACGCAGCCTGGAGACTCCTGGACATCTCTGCCTCCAGCACTGAACAAATCCTCTGAGAGGCTCACACACACACACACACACACACACACACACACGGCTGGAAGACCGAGGAGGAGAGGGGAGGCAGGCTGGACAGGGGAACATGGAATTACCACAGGGACATGAACAAGCAGTGCTGGCCCTGTCAGCAACCCAGCTATCTCCTCCCTGAACATGGCTTTGGGTGGCCCACTGTGGACTGTCTCCTCTGGCTGCCCCTCATGGACCAGACTAGTAGTGTTCACAGACCAGGATAGAGGAGACCCAAACTGGATGGACCTGTGTTCCCACTAGGTGACACTAGGGGCAGTAGACCACTCAAGCGTGTCTGTCTGTCACACCATGGTTAGATAAGTTGATACTGTCCTCCTCCTCTCCCAAACTTCATTGTGTTCACTAGAGGATGAAGTGAAGGGTGTCTTTAATGCCTATGTTGATCCCTTCCCAGTTTGGGGAGGACATCTTGGATGCCATGTGGTTCACCAATGCCCTAGACCAGGGATGGGCAACTTTGATGGGGTTGGGGGCCACAGAAAATCTGACTCCTCGTGCAGGTCTAACAATCAAAAAAATATTAGGTGACATGGGCTAATTGAGTTACTGCTGCTGCACAACCAAATTTTGAAATTGCACTTTGCGTATTCTACTATTCTAACTCTCAACAGTAAATTAAAGACCTCCGACTGAGTCCCCCCCCCCCCCCCCAAAAAAAGTATATATATATAACAAAAATGTAAACACAACACGCAACAATTTCAACGATTTTACTGTGCGTTCATATAAGGATATAAGTCAATTGATATAAATTCATTATGCCCTAATTTATGGATTTCACATGACTGGGCAGGGGTGCAGCCATGGGTGTGCATAGGCCCACCCAATTGGGAGCCAGGCCCAGCCAATCAAAATATGTTTTTCCCCACAAAAGGGCTTTATTACAAAAATAAATACTCCTCAGTTTCATCAGCTGTCCGGGTGGCTGGTCTCAGACGATCCCACAGGTGAAGAGGCCGGATGTGGAGGTCCTGGGCTGGCGTGGTTACACATGGTCTGCAGTTGTGAGGCCGGTTGGACCTACTGCCAAATTCTCTAAATGACGTTGGAGGCGGTTTATGATAGAGAAATTAACATTAAATTCTCTGGCAACAGCTCTGGTGGACATTCCTGCAGTCAGCATGCCAATTGCACGCTCCCTTAAAACTTGAGACATCTGTGGCATTGTGTTGTGACAAAACTGCACATTTTAGAGTGCCCTTTTTATTGTCCACAGCACAAGGTACACCTGTGTAATGATCATGCCGTTTAATCAGCTTCTTGATATGCAACAAATTAACTTTTAACAAGGCACACCTGTTAATTGAAATGCATTCCAGGTGACTACCTCATAAAGCTGGTTGAGACAATGCCCAGAGTGTGCAAAGCTGTCATCAAGGCAAAGGGTGGCGATTTGAAGAATCTCAAATATAAACTATATTTTGATTTGTTTAACACTTTGTTTACTACATGATTCCAGATGTGTGATTTCATAGTTTTGATGTCTTCACTATTATTCTACAACGTACAAATAAAGAAAAACCCTTGAATGAGTAGGTGTGTCCAAACTTTTGACTGGTAGTGTACATCAAAACTATGAAATAACATTTACATTTTACATTTTAGTCATTTAGCAGACGCTCTTATCCAGAGCGACTTACAGGAGCAATTAGGGTTAAGTGCCTTGCTCAAGGGCACATTTACGTCATTTAGCAGACGCTCTTATCCAGAGCGACTCACAAATTGGTTCGTTCACCCTATAGCCAGTGGGATAACCACTTTACAATTTTGGGGGGGGGGTAGAAGGATTGCTTTATCCTATCCCAGGTATTCCTTAAAGAGGTGGGGTTTCAAATGTCTCCGGAAGGTGGTGAGTGACTCCGCTGTCCTGGCGTCGTGAGGGAGCTTGTTCCACCATTGGGGTGCCAGAGCAGCGAACAGTTTTGACTGGGCTGAGCGGGAACTATGCTTCCGCAGAGGAAGGGGAGCCAGCAGGCCAGAGGTGGATGAACGCAATGCCCTCGTTTGGGTGTAGGGACTGATCAGAGCCCGAAGGTACAGAGGTGCCGTTCCCCTCACTGCTCCATAGGCAAGCACCATGGTCTTGTAGCGGATGCGAGCTTCAACTGGAAGCCAGTGGAGTGTGCGGAGGAGGGGGGTGACGTGAGAGAACTTGGGAAGGTTGAACACCAGACGGGCTGCGGCATTCTGGATGAGTTGTAGGGGTTTAATGGCACAGGCAGGGAGGCCAGCCAACAGCGAGTTGCAGTAGTCCAGACGGGAGATGACAAGTGCCTGGATTAGGACCTGTGCCGCTTCCTGTGTAAGGCAGGGTCGTACTCTCCGGATGTTGTAGAGCATGAACCTGCAGGAGCGGGTCACCGCCTTGATGTTGGCGGAGAACGACAGGGTGTTGTCCAGGGTCACGCCTAGTCTCTTCGCACTCTGGGAGGAGGACACAGCGGAGTTGTCAACCGTGATGGCGAGATCATGGAACGGGCAGTCCTTCCCCGGGAGGAAGAGCAGCTCCGTCTTGCCAGGGTTCAGCTTGAGGTGGTGATCCGTCATCCATACTGATATGTCTGCCAGACATGCAGAGATGCGATTCGCCACCTGGTTATCAGAAGGGGGAAAGGAGAAGATTAGTTGTGTATCGTCAGCGTAGCAATGATAGGAGAGGCCATGTGAGGATATGACAGAGCCAAGTGACTTGGTGTATAGGGAGAAAAGGAGAGGGCCTAGAACTGAGCCCTGGGGGACACCAGTGGTGAGAGCACGTGGTGCGGAGACAGCTTCTCGCCACGCCACTTGGTAGGAGCGACCGGTCAGGTAGGACGCAATCCAGGAGTGAGCCGCGCCGGAGATGCCCAGCTCGGAGAGGGTGGAGAGGAGGATCTGATGGTTCACAGTATCAAAGGCAGCAGACAGGTCTAGAAGGACAAGAGCAGAGGAGAGAGAGTTAGCTTTAGCAGTGCGGAGAGCCTCCGTGACACAGAGAAGAGCAGTCTCAGTTGAATGACCAGTCCTGAAACCTGACTGGTTTGGATCAAGAAGGTCATTCTGAGAGAGATAGCAAGAGAGTTGGCTAAAGACGGCACGCTCAATAGTTTTGGAAAGAAAAGAAAGAAGGGATACTGGTCTGTAGTTGTTGACATCAGTGGGATCGAGTGTTGGTTTTTTGAGAAGGGGAGCAACTCTCGCTCTCTTGAAGACGGAAGGGACATGGCCAGCGGTCAAGGATGAGTTGATCAGCGAGGTGAGGTAGGGGAGAAGGTCACCGGAGATGGTCTGGAGAAGAGAGGAGGGGATGGGGTCAAGCGGGCAGGTTGTTGGGCGGCCTGCAGTCACAAGTCGCAGGATTTTATCTGGAGAGAGAGGGGAGAAAGAAGTCAAAGCATAGGGTAGGGCAGTGTGAGTAGGACCAGCAGTGTCATTAGACTTAACAAACGAGGATCGAATGTCGTCAACCTTCTTTTCAAAGTGGTTGACGAAGTCATCCACAGAGAGAGAGGAGGGGGGGGGGGGGGATTCAGCAGGGAGGAAAATGTGGCAAAGAGCTTCCTAGGGTTAGAGGCAGATGCTTGGAATTTAGAGTGGTAGAAAGTGGCCTTAGCAGCAGAAACAGATGAAGAAAATGTAGAGAGGAGGGAGTGAAAAGATGCCAGGTCGGCAGGGAGTTTAGTTTTCTTCCATTTCCGCTCCGCTGCCCGGAGCTCTGTTCTGTGAGCTCGCAATGAGTCATCAAGCCACGGAGCTGGAGGGGAGGACCGAGCCGGCCGGGAGGATAGGGGACACAGAGAGTCAAAGGATGCAGAAAGGGAGGAGAGGAGGGTTGAGGAGGCGGAATCAGGAGATTGGAGGGAGAAGGATTGAGCAGAGGGAAGAGATGATAGGATGGAAGAGGAGAGAGTAGTGGGAGAGAGAGAGCGAAGGTTGCGGCGGCGCATTACCATCTGTGTAGGGGCAGAGTGAGTAGTGTGGGAGGAGAGCGAGAGAGAAAAGGAAACAAAGTAGTGGTCGGAGACATGGAGGGGAGTTGCAGTGAGATTAGTAGAAGAGCAGCATCTAGTAAAGATGAGGTCAAGCGTATTGCCTGCCTTGTGAGTAGGGGGGGACGGTGAGAGGGTGAGGTCAAAAGAGGAGAGGAGAGGAGTGGAAAGAAGGAGGCAGAGAGAAATGAGTCAAATGTGGACATAGGGAGGTTGAAATCCCCCAAAACTGTGAGGGGTGAGCCATCCTCAGGAAAGGAACTTATCAAGGCGTCAAGCTCATTGATGAACTCTCCAAGGGAACCTGGAGGGCGATAGATGACAAGGATATTAAGCTTAAATGGGCTAGTGACTGTGACAGCATGGAATTCAAATGAGGAGATAGACAGATGGGTTAGGGGAAAAATTGAGAATGTCCACTTGGGAGAGATGAGGATTCCTGTGCCACCACCCCTCTGACCAGATGCTCTCGGGGTATGCGAGAACACATGGTCAGACGAGGAGAGAGCAGTAGGAGTAGCAGTGTTTTCAGTGGTAATCCATGTTTCCGTCAGCGCCAGGAAGTCGAGGGACTGGAGATTAGCATAGGCTGGGATGAAGTCAGCTTTGTTGGCAGCAGAACGGCAGTTCCAGAGGCTGCCTGAGACCTGGAACTCCAGGTGTGGGGTGCGTGCAGGGACCACCAGGTTAGAGAGGCAGCAGCCACGCGGTGTGGGGCGTTTGTGTAGCCTGTGCAGAGAGGAGAGAACAGGGATAGGCAGAGGCATAGTTGACAGGCTGTAGCAAATGGCTACAATAATGCAGAGGAGATCGGAATGAAATGAACTAAACATCTGGGAGAGTAGAGAGCAGGGCCTCCCTCACCAAAAACTTCTACCTCAGAAACTATAATTGTTTCACTGAACCACCCGAACAAAAACTCTACCAACTTCCACCTTTAGAAATCAGAATTGTTGTGAACCACAGCGGTTCAATGTTTAAAGGAATAGACTCAA